GCTGTCCCCGACACGTTGGACGACGCGGCGCTCCGGGGACCGAGATTCTCTCTATACCGACACAAGTCGATGTTAGTAAGGTCGGTATTCAAAAGATAAATTGATGAAACTTTATAATAGGGATGATGACTAATTTTTTTTTCTTCGTTTATCAGGTAGATTATCAAAAAGTATTGGACACGTATTTTTTCTTTTTTCACATAATATAAACATTGCAGAGATATATTGATTTGAAAAGTCGCATGACGTCACGTTTCAGTACACTTATAAGTGAAAATTCACTCAAAAGTGACGTCACGAGACCCTACTCCCAAACTTTAACGCGGTATAACTTTGTCATTTTTTGGTTGATTGCCCAAAGAAAAAATATGTGTCCATTATTTTTTGATCATCTAACTGACGGACTAAATAGAATTTCGTTTACTGTACCCCGTCATCACCCCTATTTATATAAGCCCCTTCGTACACATCGCTACGCAAATCTTAGATACTTGACGATTATGTTCTGTAAGCGCCTACTGCAACGAAATGTCGGCAACGCGTGCATAGATACTAACCTCTATGAATTTGTATTGCGGCAGTCGCTTACCGCCTCATTACAAAACGTACTGTAACGTAAGTTAAACCTGAACTTAAGGATTTGCTGTCACTTTTGTTTGCTAAAAAGAAGACGGAGACAACTATAGGTTTAAACCATGACTAACTTAGTCCGCGTTTAGTAATAAGATGGTTAGACACCAAACTTGTCAGTCGGTTATCGAAGATTTGCGTAGCGTTATATACATATAAAAGAGCTTAGAGTGAATAATGAAAATGAAAAATATTTATTTCTGTTTAAGTTGGTATGGTAAACTAAATTTATTTCTGTTTAAGTCGATATGGTAAACTAAATTTTACCTTATCAAAACAGGAGTTGTAATTTTATTGCATAAATACAGTTAAATTTTTAATAATAAACACGTCAATTGTATGTAATATTTTTGTAAACTGTGGTGTTTTTAGTATTTATATTGTGTATGATTCTCTGAAAATTGTTTGTTAGAAACTGTCTCACGTAAGTGAATTTTTATAAATTTTTGTGAGATCAATAAAGTTAACCACATAACGCAGTGGTAGCGCATGACGCATACAGGGCACTGACCTGTGCCTCCTGGTGGGGCTCATGACGGAGATGGTGTGGCTGCGCTTGGAGCGCGACAGCGGCGGCAGGTCGTCCCTCTCCCCCGCGGGCCCCGCCCCTGGCCCCGCCCCGGGCCCTGGCCCTGCCCCCACCCTGGGGCCGGGGGGCCACGCGGGCCACGCGGGCCCCGCAGCCAGCCCCGGCCCCTGCAGGACGGCGGGCGAGCGCGGTAAGGGCGGCCTGTGAGCGCCGCTCGTCACAGTGCTGTCGCTCGCCGTCTACAATATACTTACTGTTAGATCAGAACAATGACCGATACAAGTATACGTTTGAGCGTGCACAAACGTATACACTGTACGTATTACGCAACCAAAAAGTATTAGCGGCATTTGGCAGAGATTGCATTTGCCATTACATCGCTTTTTTACAACGCTAACAAAAGGCCAAAGATTGAATTTGAAGTTTGTATAGTGGTACGCACGCTATTCATAGCAACATATATTTGTCTCTTTTCTGGTTTATATGTAAAAAATAGGATATTATTTAGATTTTGCTCTAAGGTTCATGATGGTAGATAAAGAATACCTATACCTACCTATGAAAAACCTATGAAATGTTATATTTATAATGCAACGCGAACGTTTCAGAGTGTATTTATTTAATAGTTTTGAAAGTTTATTATCGCTGTAAATTTCTCAATTAGATGACTAATCGACTCGTTTAGAATAAGAATATTTTAGGAAGGTTTTCTAGAGTGTAATACACACTCATACACGCACACATACACACACACACACACTTTTTACAAATACACCTGATACACTAAGAAATCATTTGTTGTGCTCAAAATTTGTTAACTTCACTAGGCTAAGAGCGAGGCATCCCAACACAGGTATTAATTATTACTTTCTGGGTTGTCCCAACTTGTACTGTAAACTGACTCTTTGGGAAATAAAAACCATTTTCATTTTTCATAGAGTGTATCGCTCAAGTAAATACCTTTTGCAGCTGGTGGTGTACGGCCGCCTGGTCGGCCGCGGCGTCCTCCGCGTCGACGGTGCCTGCATCACATGTTATCACTAACAAAGAATTTTTCAAAATTCACCTCCGAGCTTATTTAACTGCCCACATTATCTTATAGATCTATCTTTCTACACGGTGTTACAGTAATAAAAATAATAAATATTTCCAACACTCCCACCAATTAGCCTAGCCCCAAACTAAACACTGAAAGGTCTGTGTTATGACTGTTATCAGGTTCTAGGGTAACGGATAGAATACATACATTTTTTATGTATAAATGCATATCAACATTCGTAACTTGAATGCAAATGCTCGTTTTCAACAATACCGGGACCATACGAGTGGGGGCCACCTTGAAACCCAGCGAACAGACCACTCGGCAATGAAGGTCATTGTTAAAAATCTGCTTGCGTTAAGCAATATGTTTGATGAAGCGACGGAGCCATTTTGCTAGTGGAACGAAACAATATTTGTCTACATTATCATTTCATTCATTCGATTATCATATTTTACTTCAATGACGATATTTTTTGAATTTTAATAATTAGGGAACCACTGGAATGCCGTTTTATGCTAGTGTCACAAACGCTCTCGAGCCAAAACCGTGAAAATACTGGAGGCAGAGACCAGAACACCGCGGGTCGCGACGTGAATAATCAAGATAAAGTTTGAATGGTGCAGTTTATTCTAATATGAGCCTTATGCAGTGCGATGTAAGGGTGAAAGTAATAATAAATAATGTTTTTTGACAATAATAATAAGGTAAGTAGGTACTATGCACTCGCGGGTGCTAGTTAACTCTCAATCGAATTAGACTAGGCGTACAAAGGCCAAAGATATCCAGTTTGAGGTTTACATACTTGTACGCACGATGTTCTTAGCATCATATATTTGTCTCCTTTCTGGTCTATATGAAAAAATAAGATAAGTGACTGATTTGACTTGATGTTGTGGGTTACCTACAATGCGAAGAGATGGCGCTGCTTTGCAGCTTAAGGCTAGGAAAATTTCGACGCGGCGAATAGGACCGTGGTAGCATAATGGTCAGTGCATTCGCCCGGATTGCGAAGGGTGCGGGTTCGAGTCCCGTCCGCTGCCTGGTCCGCGTGGATTTTTTTCTAGTAAACTTTTCTTTTGACTTGATGTGTTAAAATTAAACTCATTTCTGAGGCCCTTTTGTATGTGTGTTCGTGTGTCTGTGTGTACTGACCGGGGTCGGAGTTGTAGGTGACGAGGTGTGGGTGGGAGAGCGGGGAGGTCCCGCACATTTCTTCCGGGATCGCTTCGCATGATACTCGCATGTCACTCTTCTTAGCTGCCTTCTTTGTCGCGTGCATGCATGCTGATGCACTCCTGTCGTGTAATACACAAAATATATACTTAACAATGTTAGGCACGTTTATTTAATTCCATAACAACTATTTAAGTTCTCGTGCTAAAGCAAAGCCATAGGCATTTTTGACATATCATAATATGGCATACCGGCAAAGAAAAAGATTTGCTGTTTATAATAAAACATAATATAAATATTTACAACACACACACCAATTAGCCTAGCCCCAAAGTAAGCACGGCTTGTGTTATGGGATACTAGGGTAACGGATAGAATACATATACTGTACACGTACAGGGTGTTACAAAAATACAATAAAGCAACGCCCTTTAACGTTGAAGTACATCATATAAGGACTCTCCTCTAATTTTCTTAAAATATTTGCATTAACTTTTAACTTTTTATAAAAACAGTTATTTTTAATGATCCTCGCACTAGTGACGTGTCTTAATATGATCGATATTTTTATTAATCATTAAAAATAACTGTTTTTATAAAAGGTTAAACTTCATGCAAAAAATTTAAAAAAATTAGAGAAGACTCCTTATATGATATACTTCAACGCCCTTCAAGCTTTATTTGTATTTTTGTAACACCCTGTATAAGTATATTTATATAGAAATACAATTTAACATCCATGACTGGAGTACAAATGCTCGTATTCATCACACAAACATCTGCCCCCACCGGGATTCGAACCCGGGACCTCTCGAGTCGGCGACGCCATGAAACCCGGCGTACAAACCACTCGGTCACGGAGGTCGTCAAAGTGTTTTAGCTAGGAATCTAACCTACAATGAAGATTCAGATGGTACTGATGATGAAAAGAGATGAACAATACAAGCCACTATATTCTATTTAACTTCTTTTGTGGTAATAAAATGATAAAAAGAGGTTTTGAATAAGTCGAATTTTATGAATATAAAAAAATCATACCTATTTTCATCATCATCATCAGCCTATTAATGTCCCCACTGCTGGGGCACAGGCCTTCCCTATGGATGGAATAGGGAGATTGGGCCATGACCCACCACGCGGGCCCAGTGCGGGTTGGTGGGTGCTAACGACTGCAGATGCAGCCGGGACCAACGGCTTAACGTGCCTTCCGAAGCACGGAGGAGCTCGAGATAGTAAATTTTTGGTCACCCATCCAATGACCGACCACTGCGAAAGTTGCTTAAGTTCAACGATCGCAGCCGAACGCGCTAACCACTTGCGCCATCGAGCTCCTCATCATACCTATAACTATACCTATTTCCAAACTTTGAAAGCATTATGATACTACCAAAATCTAAGAGTAGTGATAAGGCAAATAATTTACGTTGAAATGTTGTAATCTGGTTACATCGAAAAAAAGTTTTGGAAACATTGGTTTATAATTTTTTCTAGTTATGTTTTCTTTAGATTTAAACATTGGTTTATTTATTTACCTTTTAGCTTATAAGAAGTTGAATAGAGCATAGATATTAGTCACTTTATTTCTTTTAAATTTAATAAATGGATCAGGAATATAATTGTAGATTGCAAAAAAGGACTCTATAATAATATTGATAGCTAAGAAAGTTGCAGTAGAAGGACTCTCTGTGGTACTAAGTCATAAATTGATATGTCTTAAAATGCGTTTTCTCATAAAGTTTTATTTCACGTACGTTTCTATTATGTTCAATCGTGCAAGTAAACAATGGGGAAGAAAACTCAAAGCTCATTACAGACGGCGCTTTGGTCGTTTGGCCCAAAACAAGCAACCTGTCACTTCAAGGCTGCGTTCTAAACCTACGATTTGAGTGCAACTTTTTACCCTGACGTTACAATTCTGTCATAAAATCTATGAAACTTATGTGAAATTCGACATCTGTTTCACTCGGAACGTAGGTTTGGAACGCAGTTCAAGTCTATCTATATGTATATAGGGCGCTGAAGCCAAAATACAGGATGAACTTCCTAGTTTGGCTGAAGATGTCATTTAATATTTAATGTAAAATTAGCCTTAGTGTAAACAGTCTTATAAGAATATTTCCATGTAAGAACGTGTAATTTATTGCAAATAAACATTATTATTATTATGAAAATTTTTCGGTTTTCCTTGTGAACTCGAAAGCTGTCCCCATTTGTAGTTATGGGCCATTCGATACGTGGGCCTGGGGCGGGATAAATGGTGAGTTTTGTTCCCCGTTGTGTCGTGATATTGTTGACGTACGCGGGTTCGGTGCCGGGCAGGTGGATCATGTCGCGGGGCGGCGCGGCGACGTTGGTGGCGGGCGCTGCGTTGCCGGCCCCCGCCGGGAGGGGGAGGGGCTGGGGGTGGGGGTGGGGGTGGGGGTGGGGGTTGGGGAGGGGCGGGGGCTCCGTCTTCCACGACGACGACATCTCCGGAGACGAGTTGGAGCGACGCACCGGGTGACGGGACTTGCCCTGCGGACACACACACACGCGCACCGACTATTATATACATATACCAGCTAAACCTAATTCAAATTTAATCTAATATATAAAATTCTCGTGTCGCGGTGTTTGTGGTTAAACTCCTCCGAAACGGCTCGACGATTTCGTGAAATTTTATATGCATATTCAGTAGGTCTGAGAATCGGATGTAATCTATTTTTCATCCCCCTAAATGTTAAGGGTAATCCACCCCTAAATTTTTTTTCTCAATTTTAGTTAATTTTTTTTTAAACTTTTTTATGAAACTATCATACACATATACATAAAACCCTAAATTTTCACCCTTCTACCACCAACCTCTATTTTTTTTATGGCGGTACGAAGTTCGCTGGGACGGCTAGTTTAATATAAATTCCATTTAACCTAGTGTTTAATTGAATGCATATTTGTTTTAGTTTTTAGTATAGTTTCTTGAATATGCAATGATTATTTATGATATTGGTGTGGTGAGTTGGTTGTTGCAGGCGAATAGACGAATGTAAGAAATGTATTAAATTTTCTTTAGTTATAGTGCCAGTGTAATACTTTTTATATATATGTCATTTCCGTGTTTTTGTTCATGTTGAGTTTGCCAGTAATTGTTTTTGCACTATGCTGAAAATTGTTACATATAAGTGTGATTATGTAAGTTAAGGTGTAATAATGTTGGCAGACCTTTAATAAATAAATAAATATACACTGCGGTAAAGTTTCAGTGATGGCTGCGGAGAAACCACAAAAGACCTTATGGCTTGATTACATTTGATCGTTAGCCCGAATACGAGTGCCAATGGAATTCGGGTAAACGACAAATTGTGAATGAACGAAGTCGAGAACGCGCGTATTCGGGTAGTTTTTGTTTTCGTTTCCTGACACCGCCTTCCAGTTCAGTGTAATATTGCTTCGGGTGCCATATTCGAGTTCTGCATTTCGTGTACCCGAATACGACGAAATGTAATGAGGGCTATCGCGTATGAATCCGCCGCTAGAGGCGCTAGTGTAGCGTGAGGTCTCCGAAATGTCAAATGTTATTGCTTGTTGGTTGACTATGCGGGTTTATTTCTAATTAAAATAATGTTGTGAATAATTGGTAACAATTCGGCTTAATTCTGGCAAATATGAGTTACGTGGCAATGAATGTCAGTTATTAAAAATTTGAGCTTAGAAAAATGATTCTGTTCCTATTTTTTCCGAATATAACGGAACTGCGCGTCACTGTGGCATGGCCTATTATGTTTAGGATATGATTCTTTTGTGTTAAAATACGATCTAAATGTAACCTTTGATTTCATGTGCGTATTAATAAACTTTAAAAGTTACAATGTAGGACCTCACTCAACAGTGGCGCCATCTGGTGAGGCAGAAAACGGTAGCCCTCATAGAGTTATTAGGCGATGGCGACAGGGCATGGTGTACCATTATATGATCACACAAGTTATAACAACTATAAGAGAAGCTTATTTCAGAATTAATCAATGCCGTAAGGTAAAAGAGTATTTGCACAGCCTTAATTATTTGACTAGCTGTCATGTCAGCATACCAGGTTGTACTACTACGTATAATTTAATAGACGTGTAATGGTGGTGTTTGTTATTTAAATGTCTCTCTGCAGCGACGCCGGCATGTTGACGGGCCGCGTGCTGACCTGCCGTGCGGTCAATGAGTGGACTGTGTGTGTGGGTCGGTGACACATACCTCCGGCACGATGAGCAGCATGTCATCTTGTAGCGCGGCATGTTGACGGGCCGCGTGCTGACCTGCCGTGCGGTCAATGAGTGGACTGTGTGTGTGGGTCGGTGACACATACCTCCGGCACGATGAGCAGCATGTCATCTTGTAGCGCGGCATGTTGACGGGCCGCGTGCTGACCTGCCGTGCGGTCAATGAGTGGACTGTGTGTGTGGGTCGGTGACACATACCTCCGGCACGATGAGCAGCATGTCATCTTGTAGCGCGGCATGTTGACGGGCCGCGTGCTGACCTGCCGTGCGGTCAATGAGTGGACTGTGTGTGTGGGTCGGTGACACATACCTCCGGCACGATGAGCAGCATGTCATCTTGTAGCGCGGCATGTTGACGGGCCGCGTGCTGACCTGCCGTGCGGTCAATGAGTGGACTGTGTGTGTGGGTCGGTGACACATACCTCCGGCACGATGAGCAGCATGTCATCTTGTAGCGCGGCATGTTGACGGGCCGCGTGCTGACCTGCCGTGCGGTCAATGAGTGGACTGTGTGTGTGGGTCGGTGACACATACCTCCGGCACGATGAGCAGCATGTCATCTTCTAGCGCGGCGCTGGCGGCGTGTCGCTGCGGCGACGCCGGGATGTTGATGGGCTGCGTGCTCGATCTGTACAAGCGACGTTAATCTATACTTCCTTTATCTTTACTAATATTATCTATATATATAAAATTCAAAGGTGACTGACTGACATAGTGATCTATCAACGCACAGCCCAAACCACTGCCACTGGACGGATCGGGCTGAAAATTGGCACGCAGGTAGATGTTATGACGTAGGCATCCGCTAAGAAAGGATTTTGATCAATTCTACCCCCAAGGGGATAAAATAGGGAATGAAAGTTTGTATGAAACTTTGTCAATTTTAAACCGATCGGGTCCAGACTTTGCAAGCAGGTATAAAAAGAATCAGAGACGAATGTCACTGTGTATAATACAAGCCTGAGAACAAAAACTGTAGTCTACATTTCAGCTCTACACCGAAGCGAAGCGAGTGCGGGCCGCTAGTATGAGACGAAGTTTGCGAGGTTGTAGGGAGTAATATCAGTTGGACAATCCATTTATCGAGGAGACTATGCATTGTAAAACATCACGCTACGATTAATAGGAGCGGAGTATTAATAACAAATGTTGCAGAAACGGAATACCTGTGAGGTTGCGGCGGTACTATGCAGTGTGTCGCCGCGTGTGGAGGTTTCTTCTCGCTCGCCACAACTGTGTCGGAACTACAATCAATCAAGATATTAATTAAGGAAATAACAATAACAATCTATTTCTATAACAAAATTATCATATGGATATTTTGTTATGATGTCAGATAAGGATGATTTCCTGGTTCGTGTAAAAATAACAATTGAAACCAGTCCATAGTAAAAATATTCAGCACCGCTTGAATTTTATTTTAAACATTAAAAATAAATGTGTTATTTTATTTCTCATTGAACTGTCATAATATAATTTAAGATTGAGTATTGCGCTTTATTACAAGAGCTGATTCAAAACACCATCAGAATAGAAAATAAGATATAAGAATAAAAAGCATTTAGAAATTTAATTCTGTATGAGATTCAGACCCATATATTGATTAGGGTATATGAGAAATTTTAGAATACGATGTGACGGTATTTTTTTTAATGTTTATGGGTTTCACAGAAAGTCGATATTCATCTTTCCGTTGTATATTTTAGTAAAAACTAAATAAAACAAAAACTATTTTTAAGTCGCTGCGAAACCGTTTCTCTGGATATTACTGGCCTCTCACTGGTATGTGACGTCATACGACTGTCATTTAAACATATTTTTTTTAATGCTTAATAGACAAGGCGTTCGACCACAATCTCGTCTGATGGAAAGCTTAGGATGGTACACGCCTGTCTAGAAGATGCTTGTTCATTCTGGCCTTGAAGATGTCCATCAAACGATACAATGTACAATATAGTGTGTGTCACCTGGACTTGTGCAGGTCGGGCGGCGCGGGGGGCGCGGACGACGCGGACCCGCTGCGGGACCGCACCTCCTCCTCGGGACCGGGACCCTGCCATATAGGTACACGCAGATTAGTTCCGATGGATCGTTAAGTATCGGTAAAGCGCGTGTTTTGATCTACACGTCAACAAAAACGTATCAACATTGAATAAAATCGCCTATGCAAAACTTTGTTTCTCTACACATATTTGTTAACATCAACAATGTATTCGTTTACCGAGTCTGATGGAAAACACTTGCACAAATCCCCCCCGCGCGGGTCGAGGGGCAGGATATCGTTTCATCTGCCATTTTTATGACAATTCGTTAGCGGGGCATTTTTTTTATCGTGGTCGAGGGCGGGGCGGTGCTGGGCGCGCAGCGTGAAGGCGGCGTCCCCGGTGTGTAGTGTAGTGTGGGCGGGGCCGGGGCCGGGGCCGGGGCCGGGGGCGGGACACTCACGCGCGGGGCTCGGTCGGGCGCCAGCAGGGCGGCGAGGTCAGCCAGCGCGAGGTCGTGGTCGAGGGCGGGGCGGTGCTGGGCGCGCAGCGTGAAGGCGGCGTCCCCTGTGTGTAGTGTAGTGTGGGCGGGGCCGGGGCCGGGGCCGGGGGCGGGACACTCACGCGCGGGGCTCGGTCGGGCGCCAGCAGGGCGGCGAGGTCAGCCAGCGCGAGGTCGTGGTCGAGGGCGGGGCGGTGCTGGGCGCGCAGCGTGAAGGCGGCGTCCCCGGTGTGTAGTGTAGTGTGGGCGGGGCCGGGGCCGGGGCCGGGGCCGGGGCCGGGGGCGGGACACTCACGCGCGGGGCTCGGTCGGGCGCCAGCAGGGCGGCGAGGTCAGCCAGCGCGAGGTCGTGGTCGAGGGCGGGGCGGTGCTGGGCGCGCAGCGTGAAGGCGGCGTCCCCGGTGTGTAGTGTAGTGTGGGCTGGGCCGGGGCCGGGGCCGGGGCCGGGGGCGGGACACTCACGCGCGGGGCTCGGTCGGGCGCCAGCAGGGCGGCGAGGTCAGCCAGCGCGAGGTCGTGGTCGAGGGCGGGGCGGTGCTGGGCGCGCAGCGTGAAGGCGGCGTCCCCTGTGTGTAGTGTAGTGTGGGCGGGGCCGGGGCCGGGGCCGGGGGCGGGACACTCACGCGCGGGGCTCGGTCGGGCGCCAGCAGGGCGGCGAGGTCAGCCAGCGCGAGGTCGTGGTCGAGGGCGGGGCGGTGCTGGGCGCGCAGCGTGAAGGCGGCGTCCCCGGTGTGTAGTGTAGTGTGGGCGGGGCCGGGGCCGGGGCCGGGGCCGGGGCCGGGGGCGGGACACTCACGCGCGGGGCTCGGTCGGGCGCCAGCAGGGCGGCGAGGTCAGCCAGCGCGAGGTCGTGGTCGAGGGCGGGGCGGTGCTGGGCGCGCAGCGTGAAGGCGGCGTCCCCGGTGTGTAGTGTAGTGTGGGCTGGGCCGGGGCCGGGGCCGGGGCCGGGGGCGGGACACTCACGCGCGGGGCTCGGTCGGGCGCCAGCAGGGCGGCGAGGTCAGCCAGCGCGAGGTCGTGGTCGAGGGCGGGGCGGTGCTGGGCGCGCAGCGTGAAGGCGGCGTCCCCTGTGTGTAGTGTAGTGTGGGCGGGGCCGGGGCCGGGGCCGGGGGCGGGACACTCACGCGCGGGGCTCGGTCGGGCGCCAGCAGGGCGGCGAGGTCAGCCAGCGCGAGGTCGTGGTCGAGGGCGGGGCGGTGCTGGGCGCGCAGCGTGAAGGCGGCGTCCCCGGTGTGTAGTGTAGTGTGGGCTGGGCCGGGGCCGGGGCCGGGGCCGGGGGCGGGACACTCACGCGCGGGGCTCGGTCGGGCGCCAGCAGGGCGGCGAGGTCAGCCAGCGCGAGGTCGTGGTCGAGGGCGGGGCGGTGCTGGGCGCGCAGCGTGAAGGCGGCGTCCCCGGTGTGTAGTGTAGTGTGGGCGGGGCCGGGGCCGGGGCCGGGGCCGGGGGCGGGACACTCACGCGCGGGGCTCGGTCGGGCGCCAGCAGGGCGGCGAGGTCAGCCAGCGCGAGGTCGTGGTCGAGGGCGGGGCGGTGCTGGGCGCGCAGCGTGAAGGCGGCGTCCCCGGTGTGTAGTGTAGTGTGGGCTGGGCCGGGGCCGGGGCCGGGGCCGGGGGCGGGACACTCACGCGCGGGGCTCGGTCGGGCGCCAGCAGGGCGGCGAGGTCAGCCAGCGCGAGGTCGTGGTCGAGGGCGGGGCGGTGCTGGGCGCGCAGCGTGAAGGCGGCGTCCCCTGTGTGTAGTGTAGTGTGGGCGGGGCCGGGGCCGGGGCCGGGGGCGGGACACTCACGCGCGGGGCTCGGTCGGGCGCCAGCAGGGCGGCGAGGTCAGCCAGCGCGAGGTCGTGGTCGAGGGCGGGGCGGTGCTGGGCGCGCAGCGTGAAGGCGGCGTCCCCGGTGTGTAGTGTAGTGTGGGCGGGGCCGGGGCCGGGGCCGGGGCCGGGGCCGGGGGCGGGACACTCACGCGCGGGGCTCGGTCGGGCGCCAGCAGGGCGGCGAGGTCAGCCAGCGCGAGGTCGTGGTCGAGGGCGGGGCGGTGCTGGGCGCGCAGCGTGAAGGCGGCGTCCCCGGTGTGTAGTGTAGTGTGGGCTGGGCCGGGGCCGGGGCCGGGGCCGGGGGCGGGACACTCACGCGCGGGGCTCGGTCGGGCGCCAGCAGGGCGGCGAGGTCAGCCAGCGCGAGGTCGTGGTCGAGGGCGGGGCGGTGCTGGGCGCGCAGCGTGAAGGCGGCGTCCCCTGTGTGTAGTGTAGTGTGGGCGGGGCCGGGGCCGGGGCCGGGGGCGGGACACTCACGCGCGGGGCTCGGTCGGGCGCCAGCAGGGCGGCGAGGTCAGCCAGCGCGAGGTCGTGGTCGAGGGCGGGGCGGTGCTGGGCGCGCAGCGTGAAGGCGGCGTCCCCGGTGTGTAGTGTAGTGTGGGCTGGGCCGGGGCCGGGGCCGGGGCCGGGGGCGGGACACTCACGCGCGGGGCTCGGTCGGGCGCCAGCAGGGCGGCGAGGTCAGCCAGCGCGAGGTCGTGGTCGAGGGCGGGGCGGTGCTGGGCGCGCAGCGTGAAGGCGGCGTCCCCGGTGTGTAGTGTAGTGTGGGCGGGGCCGGGGCCGGGGCCGGGGCCGGGGGCGGGACACTCACGCGCGGGGCTCGGTCGGGCGCCAGCAGGGCGGCGAGGTCAGCCAGCGCGAGGTCGTGGTCGAGGGCGGGGCGGTGCTGGGCGCGCAGCGTGAAGGCGGCGTCCCCGGTGTGTAGTGTAGTGTGGGCGGGGCGGGGCCGGGGCCGGGGCCGGGGGCGGGACACTCACGCGCGGGGCTCGGTCGGGCGCCAGCAGGGCGGCGAGGTCAGCCAGCGCGAGGTCGTGGTCGAGGGCGGGGCGGTGCTGGGCGCGCAGCGTGAAGGCGGCGTCCCCGGTGTGTAGTGTAGTGTGGGCGGGGCCGGGGCCGGGGCCGGGGCCGGGGGCGGGACACTCACGCGCGGGGCTCGGTCGGGCGCCAGCAGGGCGGCGAGGTCAGCCAGCGCGAGGTCGTGGTCGAGGGCGGGGCGGTGCTGGGCGCGCAGCGTGAAGGCGGCGTCCCCGGTGGGCGCGCGCACCAGCACCTCGGCCCAGCGCCCGCACCAGCACGGACACTGCCCCGCCGCCGACAGCGCGCCCACGCGCGACCAGCCCGCCTCCTCGCCGTCCTATACATATCACGGGAGGTCAATGTCCCCGAACGACAACCGAACCATACGAGTGATGCAAATACACACATCAAAAGTGTCTAGGGATCAAGCATTTTTATGCGGATTTCTTGAGATTGAGATGTGGCTTTGTAATAAATTTATGATTTTATAAATTTATATGGATCCTTTTTGGTGCATTTCATAATTTGAATCAGGAACTGTGAATCAAATTCGAGTAAAAGATGAAAATCAGCTGTCAATATTTTCCCTATAAAAACATACAACGCATTGAAGACATTATTAGTGCTACTGTTTCCCTACTACTGATTAAAACCAACGTTATTATGGAGCGGCGACGTCATTTAAGCAGGGAAGAAATGCTCAGAGCCGTGGGAATGATAGAAGCTGGTTCCCGGCAACGTACTGTGGCTTTAGCTCTGAATACAAGTCAGAGTGTTATCAGTCGACTTTGGACACGATACCGAAGCACTGGTACCGTGGCTGAGCGCCATGGAGGACGGTATCGCTGCACCACACGGAGACAAGACCGATACATTCAAATCTTAACTCGAAGAGCTCCAACAATAACCGCCATGATGTTAGCCGTGAGGCTTCATCACTCTTCAGGGAACTTAATTAGCGACCAAACAGTCAGAAACCGCTTGCATGAAGTGAACCTTCATTCCCGAAGACCGCTACGGGTACCACCTATAGCAATGCACAATCGTAGGATTCGATATCAATGGGCTCTTGAACACAGAAATTGGGCAGTAGAACAATGGCGTTTCGTGTGCTTTTCTGATGAGTCTCGTTTTGGTATGAGACCGGATACAAGACGTATACGACACTGGAGAACCCCTGGACGCCAACAGCGATTAAAATCCTGCCAGGAAGTCCATCCTTATAGTGGTGGAACCATCATGGTATGGGCGGGTATTTGGATTGGCGGAAGAACTGAGTTGATTTGGATCAGAGGCAACCTCAACGCTCAAATTTATGCTGAGACGATTGTATCAGACGTCATCGTTCCTCTACAAGTGCAAATCGGTCCCTTATTTCAGTTAATGCATGATAATGCACGACCGCACACCGCAAGAGTTGTAAGACAGACTCTCGCCGCAGCTAACATCAATGTCCTGCCCTGGCCTGCTCAGTCGCCAGACTTGAACCCGATTGAGCATGCATGGGATATGCTACAGAGAAGAGCTCTGCCGAATATGGAGGGTATCCAGTCGCAAGAAGACCTTTTTTTGTTGTTGCAACGAACATGGGCGGCCATTCCACAGCGTGATTTGGATGAACTCATTTTGAGTATGCCAAACCGATGTTCTTGTGTTGTTAGTGTTCGCGGTAGAAATACGGATTATTAATTGTTTAAGTTACCCAATAAAATTTTAGAGAAAACTGTTATTTCAGTCTTTTTTTCGAACTTTTGTGTTAGTGGTTCAAATGTCAAAAATCCCTTTATTAGGAAAATGGCAAATTTCTTTATTAATGCAAAGGTGACTTGGTTTATCGTTACTGTGACAAACGAAAACACTTTATTTGATGAATCCTTAAAGAAAATTTTAATTAATATCAATCAGGAGAAAAGTTATTGCAAAAATATATGTTGATCCCTAGACACTTTTGATGTGTGTATGTTCGAGCGTATACTTCGGCACCCCGAACAAAAATATTATGATCGAAATACATATGCCTGCAACTTGCACAATTACATAAAAGCGACTTGCGCGTGCCGCATATTTTCACATACAAACTTAAACATGCCGTTGACTAGCATGCGAGCTCCTGCTCCGTTTTCCTAGCATGTGTATTTCGGCCATTAGTGGCGTCTTGGCGCGTCACATTTGGCATTAGATCGCTTTTTGATCCAGTATAGTAAAGGTTACCGAGGCGAAGAGATTTGATATTTATACAGTGGTACGCACGCTATTCATAGCGACCTGTAGCAATATATGTTTGTATCTTTTTTGTCCTATATGTAAAAAAAGAATAACTATATGAATCAATCTCATAAGTTGAATTCTGTTTAGTTCTTGTTCTGAGATAAAAGCAAAACACGACGCATCAGTACCCAGTCGGCTGAGCAAATTTCACGCGATTCGTCAGTCATTAGCTTCTTGTCGCGGATCAAAGTTAACTTCGTTCGGTACACATTAAAGCTCGTATGTGTTTCATACAAGCTTGAACTAGCGTACACGCGAGCTGTACAACATATCCGACACGATTTAATACCACTCAAAACTCATATAATTAAAAGGTAATCAATATAGTACATTAAATAAAAAAAATATATAACAGACCGCATTTTAGCTCATCGTATTCATTCGATTTTATTTTAAAATTCTGTGAATTAATCACTAAAACTATAGCAATCAAACTATGAATAATTATAGCACAGATTTTTTGAGAATCTCAGGGGAAACTAATATATTTTTATATCATTAAAATAAACCATTGTCTGAATAGAGGTCAACTGTATGTGTGCCAAATTTTGTCCCAATTCATTTAGTCTTTCAGAGTCAATATCAGAGTATACACTTTAACATTTATAATATTAGTATGTATATACACCATTAACTTCCCAATTCAGACAACAATTACATTGTTTTTTTCAATATATTTGTACGAGCTAGCTTCGTACAATGCATTTTTCCCGCATCAGCACTTTTAACTTGACCTCATTTTACATTATTGCACAAAATTATTTTATAAGTTAGTTCGCAATCAACAAGCTACCATAACGCGCGTGCTCATACCATTGTCAATTAGCAAATAGTTTATTTTTACCAAATATACCATTTTTACCAATACCATTTTTATCATTTATCGGGGCAGCCCGAACAATTTTTTTTTCGAGTTGTGTCTCTAAGCTAAGCTATCTCAATACTTATGCAATTATGAAACCTAAACAAGTTTAGATGTCATAAATTCATTAAAATAAATAAACTTTAACTACATACCTTAAACGGATAATAATTCCTTATATATGTATTGTATACAAATGTGCGCAGCTTATGGGAAATTTTGTGAACGTCATAAATCAATGTTCTTGTATGGCGGTGTAGTACGTTTACTGTTAATAAATGTTCTCATTATTTTTACTTCTACAAATTTTAAGTTTCACGATGTATGGCCATGACGTTTCTGAAACTTTATACGATTTGAGACTGAGTACTATGAACCAATATAAACGGTAAAAACTTACAACTTCTTTAGAGATCCTGTCGAACCTCTGCGTGAACTGGTTGATCGCGTCCGTGAGCGGGTCGCTCGCTTTACTGTTCTCTGATGAGTTTTGTCTGGGAAGAGAATATATAGATCACAACCTACTCCCATTGACGTAATAAAATAATTATTTAGCAATAAGAATGAACTAGTTCTAATTGCACTATTTATCTATAGGTGCTGAATAAAAATAAGGAAATAATTAATTATGACGATGTTTACAAGTACATGATGCATTAATTTTACGCAATGCAATTCGTTCAAAACAACTTGTATTAATTCAATTTATATATCTATTCTATGCACTTCTACGTCGTTACAAATGTGTCATCAAAATACCATGCTCGTGATAAAAAATATATAATGTAAAGAACAAGCATTAACTATGTAAATTTCACAATTATTATTTTTTCTATAAAAAACATCTAAATAGTTTAAACTGTTTAATGAATTAACAACTGGTTTACATGAGGTGAAGACAATTTTTCAGAAAATGTGTTAAATCTAATAACACTAATAAAATCTAAAACATTCGTGTAAGTCAAGTATCTATACTGCAAGTCTATTGTTAGCTACCTTCATTTAAATAACACTTTGGTTACTTTGTTACACAAAAAGCGAGTGCACTACGATCCGAAACGTAAGAGGCGGGATCGGAGCTACGACAACTAGGTACCTTAGGAGCTGGTTACGAGGAGATGGATATGGGGGTATAAGACAAATTCCGCCCAAGGTGCGGTCAGAACAAAGGAGGCAAGCACATAGGCGTAATTCGCACCCACGCCACTACAGACCATAGATTTAGTATTTAAAGACAGTTCTTAGGTAAAAAAGAGACGCAGCATTATGTACCTTAGGTCCAATAAAGTAAGAATCAATAGCGTCCTGCCAAGCCGTACTGTTTATAAATTTTATGAAAATAAAGAAATCAATCGTGATTAAACAATTAACTTTGTGTTATGGTATCCTGTGCTTTGCGTATGATACTATTACTCACAATCCAACAGCGATACGCACACATGCACAATTAAATTTTTGGAACACTTGCGATAAATACTCTGTCTATCTTTACATCCTATATCGATGCTACGGACGGAGCGAGACTGCTCAGAAAACTGCTACGAGTAGGGTTACCATCCGTTCGGATTAGTCCGGACTTTTAGACTACGGTCCGGATTCTTTAAATTGTCCGGATTTTTCAAATTACATTGGATATAAATAATAATAGTACATATTGATTTAAATACCATACCATTGTAACAACTAAGTGAGTAATGGTACCATTCTGTGACTAAAAAGTCTGGACTTTTTCCGAAATGTCAGGACTTTTGAAATTCCTAAATGGTAACCATTGCTGAGAGTAGGTCAAGCGATCGTGTAGAGTAGGGGTTTGTGTTTATCTTGGTATGTATTATATTAACTATAATTGGGATATGCTGTGAATAAATAAATCGCAGGAGCCTTCAGCGTGTATACATCTAATTATTAAACATTAATAAATTCATCCACACATTGACTGGAACCGAAGCAAACTGAACTACAAACTCTCGGCTAATATATTTGCGATAATCTTAGCACGGCATCAGACGGACCTGGTGGCGGGCGGCAGCAGCGCGTCGGAGATGGAGAGGCTGGAGGCGGAGGTCTCGGTGCTGCGGCTGTGCTGCAGCGAGTGCTTGCTGTAGCTGCGCCCCGTCAACACATACAGACCTGGTGGCGGGCGGCAGCAGCGCGTCGGAGATGAAGAGGCTGGAGGCGGAGGTCTCGGTGCTGCGGCTGTGCTGCAGCGAGTGCTTGCTGTAGCTGCGCCCCGTCAACACATACAGACCTGGTGGCGGGCGGCAGCAGCGCGTCGGAGATGAAGAGGCTGGAGGCGGAGGTCTCGGTGCTGCGGCTGTGCTGCAGCGAGTGCTTGCTGTAGCTGCGCCCCGTCAACACATACAGACCTGGTGGCGGGCGGCAGCAGCGCGTCGGAGATGAAGAGGCTGGAGGCGGAGGTCTCGGTGCTGCGGCTGTGCTGCAGCGAGTGCTTGCTGTAGCTGCGTCCCGTCAACACATACAGACCTGGTGGCGGGCGCGCTGGCGGGGGGCAGCAGTGCGTCGGAGATGGAGAGGCTGGAGGCGGAGGTCTCGGTGCTGCGGCTGTGCTGCAGCGAGTGCTTGCTGTAGCTGCGTCCCGTCAACACATACAGACCTGGTGGCGGGCGCGCTGGCGGGGGGCAGCAGTGCGTCGGAGATGGAGAGGCTGGAGGCGGAGGTCTCGGTGCTGCGGCTGTGCTGCAGCGAGTGCTTGCTGTAGCTGCGTCCCGTCAACACATACAACGTGTTTACCAAAACGTACGCACTCCCTACTGGCTATGTTTAAACCTACCGCAGCCCGTTACATGTTTCAAAAGGAGCCTATGTAACTCGAACTTTGCAAAGATGAGCGATCGAATAATAGACATTATGCGGAAGCCATAAAGGAGTTAGATTTAGGATTGCTTTGGGATACATCAAATTTAATCAGCACCTAGTTAGCAAACTCTCTTTAGATTTATAAATCTAACAGTTAAATGCTAAAAAATAAAAACAGTGGGTAACTTATTTTCAAAATTTTATAATTTTAAAAGTGACCGCAACTCGCACTTTTGTACTAGACAACCACGGATGTACAGTGAACGGTCTTTTTCGAATCGATTCTAGATGCGGCATGGCATTATTTGATATGAATATCTTACTTGCTTTTTTTAAGCTTTTTTAAGCGGTTAAATGCTTAAAATTTAAATATTAACATTGATGTTGTTTTTATTGAAATTTATTAAGTTTGACTTGCCATATTATGTTGATTTATACTAACTTCTTATTAATTTAGTTTAGGAAGTTGAAAAAATATTTATATTTCTTATAAAAAAATTACGTGTTTTTTTATAGTATTTACATAAAGATGAGGTAAACAGGACGCATAATAGTGTCTTGTAGACATGTTCAATAAATTGTAATGTGTGTTATAATGTGATATGATGCAATGCTTACCGTCGGACCTCTGGCGTGGCGGAGGACGCCTGACTGCTGTCCGCGACGCTGTCCTCACTCACGCTCACCTGTCCACATAAACACACATTACTACGCTACTCTTCTTGACGCCTATTAGTTCATGTTCTTAGAGCGACGCAGCCAGGAGAGATCATCATCATCATCATCAGCCTATTAATGTCCCCACTGCTGGGTAGGGATACAAAGTCTTTCGAAATATCAATATTTATATCGATATTTATATCGAAGTCAGGAAAATATCGATATCCGATATATCGACTATTTTAACTCGATATTATCGATACATCGATATTTTTTCCTTTTTATTTTTTATTGACTTTAGAATACGGGGTAAATGTGTCGCATTCTTATGTTTGTTGGCGAGTTTCTCGCAAAATGCATTGAGCCAGCTTTTTCGTTAAACACGCTGGATGAAATCGCGCCAAGCAGGATTTTTTTTATTGGCTCGCACGATTTGTGTTTCAGCCACGACAGGAAACCAAAAAATTAAAATTATTATCCTGATCAGATAACTCACATTCATTAGCACGAATGCGTCAACCCGCATATGTGGGACGACATTTGTGAATGCGTTCGCTAAGTTTTCACTACATTCGTGCTTTTCCAAGCTATGTTGGTTTTTTAGTGCACATCAAATACGCAAATTGCTTAGTCTCCCACACATCAGGGGCATGCCCATGGCTTCAGAATAGGGTAAGCCCAAAGCTTCCAAAATTACTATACCTATCTTACTTTCTTGACTTGGCGAGCTTAAAAAATTTACGATTTGTATATGATTCTTAATTTTATTTTGTGTTATATTACAATGATATTAAATTTCAATTATTCAGTAGTTGACAATTATCTAGAAAGAGAGGCAAGGATTTTATTTAAGTGCATGAGTTACCATTAGGTATATGATTATACCTATATACGTTGGTGTCGATTCTGGCATGATTATCTAAACTTAAAACTAAATTTAACATCAGTCTCTCCTTTTCATTCTGTACAGAGAATGACAAGGAAACTGTTGTCAAATTTAATTTTAGGTTTAGAGAATCATGCCAGAATCCACACCAGTTTAGTATATTTCTTGGGGTTCAAGATTTTTTTAATTCATCTATAAGCTCTTGCGATTTCAAAGCAATAGTTATTTCGATATTATTCAATTTAGATAGTCATAGCAGGAAAATTAATTGATATTATTGTGTTCAAATTTAGTCTACTTTCGTAGACTAAATCGATATTTTGGAATTTCCGATATCGATATTATCGATATCAGTGAATTTTAAATATCGATATAAATGTCGTTATTTTGGTCTCGATATTATCGATATTCCGATATATCGTTGCAACCCTACTGCTGGGGAATAATAATAATATAATCCATTTGTATGGAATTGGGAGACATGATCCACCACGCGGGCCCAGTGCGTATTGGCGGGTGCTAACGACTGCAGATGCAGCCGGGACCAACGGCTTAACGTGCCTTCCGAAGCACGGAGAAACTCGAGATAGAAGATTTTGGTCACCCATCCACAGACCGACCACTGCGAAAGTTGCTTGACTTCAACGATCGCAGCCGAACGCACTAACCACCTGCGCCAAGGAGCTCCTCGAGGAACCTTTAATTATTATACTATTCAAATCATTTTTCCATTTTTTGCGGGACGGGCGGAGAACAATTTGATTTTGATTTTATTGTGCTGTAACATACTCTTACGCAACTTGACTCAGCCTAGTGAAATATGCGAGATCCGATACTGATGTCGTAAGAATCCGTCCGTGCAACGTCTTTGGAAGCGGACGTGTTAATTGAATCTCTAAATTCTCTCTGAGTATTTAAACAAAGTGACAGTTAAATCTAATATTGTTTGTGTTCAATTTCCTGTGATAATTTTACTTGTGATTTAAAACTAATATTTTGTGCTTTGACAATTCACGGCAATCGCAAGCGAGCGGGATGCCCCCTTCCTCACCGCATTGATCTGAGAGGTCATCAACAATAATTGAAATCCCTTTCTACAAGTAAAATTGTTGCTTAAAAAACTGAAAACTTGTTCAGCGTGTACCCAAGAAGTCGGCAACGATGATCATTTACAATGTACAAAGTGTGAAGAGATTTTCCATTTTTTATGCCTGAATATACATCCAGACAATGGTACGGGACTTCTTCCAGACGTAATATCCTGGTCCTGTCCTATGTGCATGATGAAGCAACCAAAGGGTAACGACTCCGAGACAGTAGCTCGTCCGTCTACACCAACTTCTATCGCGGAGATATCATTTAATACAGTGAATCGAAAAGGACCGCCTAAGATCAACATTATCTAAGATAATAATCTGCGTCGCTCGGAACTGCGATCAATAATACGTGACGAGATATCAAGTGCACTTAAATTATTTGCAACTGAGTTGACTGACTGTATCAAGACGATAAATGAGCAAATTAGTGATTTCAAGTGTTCTATTGAGTTCATGAATGACAGGTTTGATAAGATCTCAAATGAGTTTACAGTACAGCAACAAGAAATATCGACCTTAAAAAAAGAAAATTCTACCCTGCGGTCAGATATGAATGCCCTCAAAGGTAAATTAAATCAACTTGATCAATTTTCCCAATCTAACACCCTGGAAATACAATGCGTGCCAGAACGAAAAAAGAGGATGTCGCGAGCATAGTAAAGCAGTTGGGAAATACAGTGAATCATTCATTGAATGACCACGATATCATGTATTGCTCACGGGTCGCCAAACTTGATCCCAGCAACCCTAGACCACGCACAATTATAGTAAAGTTTAGTTCTCCAAGGCTCCGTGATTCAGTTTTGTCGGCAGTAAGTAAATATAATAAACAAAACAAGGAAAACAAGCTCTGTACCCATGACTTTGGCTTCAATACGGAGGAGAAAAAAACAGTTTTTGTAATTGAGTATCTGTCATTAGAGAACAAACAGCTGCATGCTGCAGCTCGTAAACGCACCAAGGAGCTCAACTACAGATTCACCTGGATCCGTTCAGGCCGAATTTACATGAGAAAATCAGATGATTCTGAAGCAGTTTTCATTCGTGACTTCGAAAGTATTGCTAAACTCAAGTGACTACGTGTTTTTACATTCTATATAGTTTATATAACCACATATGTTTTATATTCCATACTTTTAGGTTGTTTTGGTTGCTTTGTTTTGGTAAGCTACATAAAAGGAAAATTACGTTGTATTGTACTATTTATGTCTTTTTACAATATAAGTATATTTAGTTGTAAACAGAAAGTCTCTAGTAAAATGCAAGAATCATACTCAAGCAATAATGTAACAAAATATGTATTTTTAAAAAACGACATTGGTAATCTGAAATGGTTTGAAACAAGCATTCCCATATTGTAATATATATAAATAATAAACACTCAATCATATTAAACATATTTATTTTATATTCACCCTGTTTATCTTTTTATTTATTCATACCTTTTTTTAATTACATGTGTTTCTGATCCTTAGGGAAGAAATTAGCAATTGAATAAAAATATGTCTTGAAATAAAATAATTGTATTTTCTTGAGTTTTTATCAACAGAAATTAAGTCTCCATAGTAACAATATAATAACATGACACAATGAAAAAGAGTAGATAAAAATGACCATAAACATACCGCCCGCCAAAGGACGTATTTTTTACGTACTTTAAAACCTAACATTAGATACAACTTAAATAACTTAAAATAAATAAAGAAAATGTACTGTGTGGGTACTTGAACAAAATATAACAGAAAATCTATAAAAGATGTCCAACCTGACAAAAAATCAAATTAATGTTAATGAACTAAACCTTAGATCTATTTACAATTAGCTTAATTATTAGGGTTAACAGGTAATATACACAACTTGGATGTGGGTCGTTTTAACAAAGACCCTTTCACTCGTAACGTGACCACTCGAGTGATATTGTCATGACCTGGATGTTTTTCTAAGACTCGACCAAGTAACCACCGACAGGGAGGTAAATCATTTTCCTTTATGAGGACTACATCACCTATTTTTGGTTCTGGTGTTTGATATTCCCATTTGTACCTATGTATAAGACTAGTCAGGTACTCCTGAGACCACCGTTTCCAAAATTCCTGTACTTGCCTTTGAATTAACTGCCATCTATGCAAGGGACTGATATAGGTGTTGATATAATTTGGATCAGGGACAGTAGTCAACGCTTCTCCTATTAAAAAATGACCAGGAGTCAATGGTAACGGCTCGTCAAGATCATTCGGGTTAATAACGGTTATCGGCCTAGAATTTAAGCATGCCTCGATTTGGCATAGTAATGTACTCATTTCTTCAAATGTTAATAAAGTGTTGTCACCAAGTACACGCTTGAGGTGAAATTTAGTCGATTTAACGGCTGCCTCCCACAGCCCACCGAAATTTGGCGAATGAGGGGGTATAAAATGCCACTCAGTGCCATTTCCTTCGATTTGTTTTGCTATGTCAGGTTGTATTCGAGTCAATTCTTGTAGTTCTCGTGCTGCGCCTATAAAGTTTGAGCCATTGTCGCTCCACATCTGAGAACAATGACCACGCCTGGACACGAACCGTCTAAATGCAGCTAAGAACGCTTGTGTGCTTAAATCGCTAGCAACTTCGAGATGTATTGCTCGCGTAGTCATACAAATGAAAATGCATATATAGCCTTTATATGAGCGATGCCCCCGCCCCTTACTGGTCCGAATATTAATAGGACCTGCGTAATCTACCCCACTGTGAATAAATGGCCTAGCTGGAGTGCAACGTACGGAAGGTAAGGAACCCATCAGTTGATTCTTTACTTTGATATTGTTCTTTATGCATATTATACAATTTCTGATGTGTTGCTTCACCAGACTTTTTATTTTAATGATCCAGTAAGCTGATCTCAAATAATTGATCATTAACTGATTACCACCATGTAATGTCCGTTCGTGGGCGTCAGTGACAATAAGTTTTGATAAATGTGAATTGTGAGGAAGTATTATTGGGTGTTTGGTTTGATGTGGCAGCAAAGACTGTTGTATTCTACCATCAACTCTGATTATATCTT